CCAGCACCAGCACCAGCACCAGCACCAGCACCAGCACCAGCACCAGCACCAGCACCAGCACCAGCACCAGCACCAGCACCAGCACCAGCACCAGCACCAGCACCAGCACCAGCACCAGCACCAGCACCAGCACCAGCACCAGCACCAGCACCAGCACCAGCACCAGCACCAGCACCAGCACCAGCACCAGCACCAGCACCAGCACCAGCACCAGCACCAGCACCAGCACCAGCACCAGCACCAGCACCAGCACCAGCACCAGCACCAGCACCAGCACCAGCACCAGCACCAGCACCAGCACCAGCACCAGCACCCCCACAACCACCAGCATTACCATCACCACCCCCACCACTAGCACCACCAGCACCAGCACCAGCACCGCCGCCATCAGCACCACCACCAGCACCACCACCAGCACCATCACCAGGACCACCACCAGCACCACCACCAGCACCACCACCAGCACCACCACCAGCACCACCACCAGCACCACCACCAGCACCACTACCAGCACCACCACCAGCATCACCACCATCCCCGACAGACTATTCGATTTTCAGCCTCGACAGCCCTAGCCCCAACAACTCGGGCCCCAGCCCCAATCTTTCAAGCCCGAGTCCCGAGGAAAGCAGCAGTAGAAACTGGTACCAGAGCAGTAGTCGACGAAGCCGTTACCTTGCTAGTGGGCTGCGAGCTGCTGGGGACCGGGGGACCACACAAGCTGAAAATAAGAATGAAGGAGCAGATCGTGCTACTGTAGTTACCACTGGCCTATATCGCAGTAGGAGCACTGGTAGTAGTAGCAGTAGCACAACTGCTGGTGCTACCCACAAGAAGACGACGCCCACCCCGGGCAGGATAGCCAGTCGCAGCAGCAGAAAACACAGAAGCCATAGCAGCATCTCCGGCATTATTCGTGATGGCATTAGCAGCAAGCAAACCTCTGAACGTAGCGGCTCCAGTCGCATCAGGCGCCAGACGCTGGTGATATCACGCAGCGGCCACACCGCCCCCTCCGACCCAGCCTCATCCTCCACAATTGGCTACCTGCCCGTACCTACGGAAGCCGTACTGGACTTGGGTTTATTGGATGAGCCCAACCCACGTCGTGATCGACGGCTGTTCCGATATCTGCCGCTAGTGGGTGGTGTGATGCTTCATGCCATACGACGGCCAATTGATAACAGCAGCTGTAGCTTGCCAGCAGGGGCTGGGCCAGGGAGAGGGTTTGCACGCCCCTTGAGTGCCGACTGCAACAGGTCTGGAGGGGGCAAGGGGAAAGGAACGGATCTGGGTTTGAAGAGGGGTTCTAGGGCTTAAAATTTGTGAGGTGGTGTCTTGTACACACATGCCTTGTCAGTGCTTTAGTCAACTGATGTGACAAAAATGTCATGTTAGGACCTGGGCTTGAGGGTATCATCTTGAGGTCACAGAAGATAAAATCGGGTTAGGAGACAAATGTTGTGGGCTCCGGAATTGGTAGCGGTTTTAAAGGGGACGAGCTCATAATCCTCCATGGCTCCACAACTCTATCTTTGTGATGGTGCTGCAACACGTTACTTGCGTTTCTCTGCCTCACCGTGCACAATCACGACTGTGCTAATGACTACGACCACATTAGTGGTATAACGTTAGTGCACACTCCAGATGCCGGCTCGTTGCATGCCCTTTCACTGTCCTGTGTGTGATATTCGACAGGTATGACATATCGTCCCACAAGGGCGGCAACAGCACCCGCAGCATTCTTAGCCGCCTCTTTGGCCAAGAGAGCAGCAGCCGCCGTCCGTACGGTGTGGATGCCGTTTTCCTGCCCACTTCCACACTTTACAATGGCTGTCTGGCACCCGACATATCGCAGTATTATAACACCACCTCTGAATCGGAAGAGGTAGCCCCGACTGGGGCCCCCTATGCCTTCTACCATAGAGCCCTCAAGGTGCGGCATTTTAATACAAGCAAGGTACAGCCGCGGCACTGTATCAACCCGGTCACCGGCTACATGACAACATATCCATTTGTGGAAGCATGGACCTGTGTGTCGTTATATGATGGGGGGTTATTGGGGTGCTATACCCCATAGCGTATTGCAAACTCCTCCTATCCCAGTTGGAAGCCCAAGTACCTTCTCCTGCTTGCCAAAAGGATAAGTAAAAGGGAAGCGCAAACATATATGATAAAAAGAAACCATGATCACGTGCGACCACATGTAGGCGCGGAACATAGGCGGGGAAAACACTGTTATATCGCGACTTCAGAAATGTACCGGTCGGCAGATGCAGATCTCGTGATATGTGCAGTGATACTACAACCACACAGCGAATAACAGGTCTTACTAAGCCCAAATACGTCTGGACATCCTCGCTTGCTAAGCAAGCAGGTCCCACTTTATAGCTTCAATGCTGCTGACGAGCGTGGCGACCAGGCTGAGGCCTGACTCGTCCTGTATACGTTCACACACTGGACACTCTAGCTAGAGTGTCACGGCTATAGCCGTGCATGCTTTTCAACCGTTATTTAGGCTGCCTTTATCACAGCGTGCAGTCACGAGCAAAAGCCTGGCCAGTGTCGCTGTTGCTGGTTGTGACACGTGTCGGCTAACAATGACAAAACTGTGTAAGCTCACCTCTGATGTGCCGGACACGATATGTACATACTGAATCGTGCGATAGCCTCTGGCTGGGATTTTGCATGCAACTGGGATCCCGTGCTACACTAAGTGGACATCAGGCTGCTTTAATTTCCGTCTAATTTGTACTACTTTGTAGTTGCGGAGCTTGCACAGTGTGCAGCTTGCTCCCGCACAGTCTTGAAAATCCTAGTATTAAATATAATGTTGCAGCCTAATCATCACGGGAGCACCACCACCACCGCAACCCAACCCTGCCCACAGCAACCAACCCCCACGGCAATCCCCCCTTCCAAAGCCTGAGACCGTTCATCGACGCCCCCCATTATTCAGCTTCCCGTAGTGGATACATGTACGCAATGCTGGCACGTTTTTGGTGTTTGGATACAGCCCCACGGCCCTTAACACTTCTGCCTCATGCCGCATGGTGCAGGGCTACCCTGATGGCTTCCCGGTACTCGTCCCAGCCGAGACAACGGCCCAGCGGCTCAAAGACATGGTCACCTTCTTGCAGGTATGGCTTCCTTACACGAATGCACAAACACATCGCGCATAGTAAACAGCGAATGAGCGACTGCCCATGGGCTGCAACTACAATAGTATATTTTCCGTTCTCAAAGGAAGCGAATACGTGACCACGAGTCTGAAAGTTCATAACTATCCGGAATGAAGCAAAACGAAATGGTCTAGATAGGGAGTGCACCTTGAATCGTCCCCCGGTTCTTCAGTCCGGTCTGAGTCCGGCCACTGGTGTAGTGGCAATGCATGTGCCACATTTAAATGCAAGGGCGGCGATGTGCGCCTCCGGGTGGTGAGTTGGATTGATGGGATCAGTACCCATGATGTCAGGTGACGGTTTCGGGAGAAAGAGTCAGCACGGATAGGCGCTGCAGGCGGATGAAAGCATTGGTGAAATCATGAAATGCGTAGGGCAACTCTCAACCCTACTGTAACACCGTTCGTTGTAAAAGGTGCGATACCTTACAAGTCACAAGTTCCGCACACAAGTGCGGGTGTGTCTGTAAAAGCCGGGGGGCCCATGGATGTTGTATTGGTATTGATGCGGGTATGCAGGAGGTCATCTTCATTCTCCCTCGTCCACTTCAGGGTGAAGCCCCTCAGCGTGACATGCCTGGCCTCCCAAATTTCCGAGAGGTACCTGGCTAATGCCAGGGGTGGCGCCTCAGTCATAATGATGCGCATATTGCGCCCCTTAAATACTAGATCACCATCATACTTAGCCCATATGCTCCTTTAAGCGGGACATTCCTCGAAAACATGCAACTCATCTTCAACCGCTCCACAGTCACAAAGCCTGCAGGTACACGCGGTGCACTCACGCCCATTAGGCCTATTAACTAACTCCCAACAGCCTAACCGAAAATGCATGAGCACATGATGAAGTTGCTGGGGCATGGTCCCTTTAGTGTGCTCCAACCAATCGAGATGCGCACCCCTAGGCGGGGCAGGTTCATATAGCGACAAGCTTTGGCTCCGGTAATCCCTATGGGGAAAACATGGGGGTCACCCAAGGTATTCGGGCACTCCCACCGTGCATCAAGCCACTTGGCAAATACCTTAAGAATGCTCTCAACTGGCAATTCAAGGGTGGCGTAGTACGCTATAAGATCATTACCGCGCGTATTAGTGGGGGGTTCTGCTCCTAAGCTAGAAAGAAAGGCTAGTACCTTGCTTGCCCAACACTCAGTGACGCCCCCAAGTGCCAACTCCAGGTCAGCGACAAATGCCCGGTGACACAGCGTTCCCGGCCTCTTAACCACAGAGTTCCAAAACCTAAGTACAAGATTGGTCCAATGGAACTGGAGTGGCCTCTGTGACAGCTCGCGGTCTAGGGAAACCATAGTCGGGCTCCTCACCCCAACTACAGATTGCATGTATGCACGCTGTTCCTGGACCATGGGATTAGTCATAGCACCTTCAAAACTCACATTAATGAAGTCAGGTCCCCTAACTTGCGCTCCATAAGAAAACACCGGTACAACTAGTGTATTGTAGAGAGACATACATAGCTTGGGGGTGGTAATTTTCTTATCTCGACACAGGGTGCTGAGCCCAAACGTGGCCCGCCTCCCTGCTGTGAGTAGTTGCTTGGTACTTACTTGGAGAACTGCACTCCTGGGCCATAGTGCAACCCGAGATACCGTGCCGTCTCATTGCCGGTCAGCACCCGCAACCCCACCCCACCTAACCGGTACTCAGCTTCCATAAGCCGCTTCCACTCACGCGTAGCACCCCCAACAATGAGGACCTCGCACTTGGCGGCATTCACAGCCATACCCGTCGCTTTGCAGTAGGCTTCGAGTAGCGCCAGAAGGCATTCTGCTCTATCGTGCCCTGTTGCTACCAGTGACACGTCGTCAATGAAAAGTAGGTTAGTGAGTTCACCGCCCGCCAGGCTAACACTCTGCTCACGAAGGGTGCTCCATCGGCTAGGGAGGCGTACACGGCAATTAGCATCGTGAGCATCAATAATGAGCGAATACTTAGAGTCCAAAAAGGGTTACATGAAGGGGGCACCCTTGCTTAACACCACGCCCCACCGTGAATTCAGGTCCCAACCTACTTCCTAACTTGACCCGAAACTTCACGTCAGCATAGCTAGCCTTTAAAGAGTCGAGGATGCGCCCGTATAGCCCATACGACATTAGGAAATCCCAAAGTGTCTCATGGTCAACGGAGTCGAACACCTTATTAAAGTCAATTTGCATGATAATAAGCGGCCTGGCTCCAGCCACAGTGTGCTTCGAGATAAGATGCCTTAATGTAAACAAGTGATGCTTGGTGCCAAAACCATGCCTACATCCAGCCTGGCTAGCGGCACGTAGCCTATTGCCCTCACAGTAATTGGTGAGTCGCCTCCCTATGATATTGGCGTAAAGTTTGCACAGGGGACCCCCAACTGCTATTCCCTGGTAATTGTCACAGCATGACACGCAGTGATTTTTTTTCATTTAGGGCGGGTCTCAATTTATTCCGACCTAAGTAACGAAGTTGCTAGGGTCGCCGTAATTTATTCCGTAAGTGTGGGGCGCTGGGGGGGGCTACAACCCCCAGACCCCTCCCGATAAGTTACAACTCCCTTCATAGACCAAGAGGCACGCACTGAGTTGGCGCGTTTTCGTTCATGTGCGCACTCATGTTCATGCACATGCATAGATAGTTCTGGCACTGTTTGTGAGCAATAAGTAAATCCGACCAAGCAAAGGCCCAAAGCAAGCAACCGCATAGCAAATCAAAGGCCGTCACCCGCCACTGCAAACCACAGCACACTTGGACTCTACCGGTTCATCGTGTACCGGCCCCTGCTGCTGCTGTCCAGCCACTTCCTCAGTGCATCACGGAACGGGAATGTGCCCGATAAGTTTGCATGTTTGGCTATGTAAGGACCAGTCATACATTCTGCTTTGCCGCGTTGGCTCACGGGCTTGACCTTCTTACGGCCCCTCATATCTATTCTATGATCGATAATATCAAGTTCTGCACACTACGGAGCAATCTGGCAGCAATGGACGTTTTTGGCTGGAGGAATGAAAATGTACGGATCAGCCTCAATTCATTCCGTTTTTCCAAAGGCCAAAATGGCCTCTTTATTCCTTTTAAGGAATATATTAATTAAAATATGGGGGCCCTGGTGAAGCAGCTGACCACGTTATAGATGTGGAAGGTGCCGAAGTACATCGGTGAAACATAATGTGGCAGGACTGGAGAGAATAGTGCAGCAGTATATTGTGAGTGTAGGTGAAGCTTTACAAGGCGTTCGGTGCACGGGCGAATTTACGTGCATACCTTTCATCGTGGGCGCATCACATTGCAAGCTAAGCAACGTGTGTACATGACGCGTAGCATCAGTCCTCAGTTCACTTCTTGTAACGAACATCAGCATAGGTCCAAGCCCTCTCGCTTGGAGGGATATGCAAACAAACATCCTGATAGGTAAACTCGCATGCTACCGAGCATTCAACCGAGCACATGCATGCTTAGTTGAATGGTGAGATGCGACCCCCCCTTCATTTCGTGCTCGGCAAGCCTGCCACCATGTACCGGATATGTTGGCGATGTTACAGAGATGCTGCACCTCGGTTTCTGTGCACAATGCGTACAATGCTTGACCCCGCCGACCAAAACTACACGTGCCCAACTGAAGACATTCCAGGTGGTTGTGCAGCAGCTCTTGCGCCTGTTGCTGGCTGAAATCCATCCTGAGCTGTTGCAACACGGCCAATGCAGGCACAGCCCTATGCACTGCAAATAGCTGTTCCAAGCCAACAGTGGCGTCCATGTCACCGACAAGGCTCTAAACGTCTTATCTGTTCTTATGTTTAATTAAGTTTATGTATGTTATACTTTGCGCAACTTTGTATTTGACTTTACACTGAACAAGGTGCTGTATACGTTGCGCTACCAAAGGTGCGACCGTTTGCTTCCCTACCACATAGACTTGCCCGGTTACCGGGCAATTGTGGCCATTAACGGGGTATGCGGAGACTGGTTACCAGGTGGATGGTTACCGGGGGTCGTTAATGGGGGTGGTTACGATTGGGTTACCAGGTTGATCGTTACTGGGCAGTAACCGGGGCTGGTTACAGGTTTGAAGACTATTGTTTTTCGTATTAAATTACAGCAGCAAGGACAGCCCACTATGGCTGGTACTCAGCTCAGTGTCTTTTTTTTAAGTAGTATATTCCTTAAAAGTAATAAACAGGCCATTTTGGCGTTTGGAAAAAAGGAATGAACTGAGTCAAAGCCCTCAGCACTCCTCCTCTGGCGATCTAAGTGATGCCCAGCACTGTGCTGTGTAAGCATGATGCTGCGGTTGTGACGGTCCTGGATGATCTCCATGCCGATTTAGTAGCGCGCCTCTCCAAGGTCTCGTACTGTGAAGCAACCAGCTATGGCCGCCTTGGCGGCCACGACCAATTGCAGGTTGTGTGCCGCCACCAGCATGTCGTCAACATGCACGAGCACATAAATTGAGCCATCAGACCCGCACTTGACGAATAGTGCAGGGTCGGACATAGACGGCTCATAGCCTAGCTTGCCCAACTCCACCGCCAGTTTCTCGTACCAGCAGCATGGGGCTTGCTTGAGGCTGTAGACGGACTTTAACAGCTGGCATGCCTGCATCGGGTTGCCGTTGCTGTTACCTGGTGGCTGTTGCATCCACAGCTCCTCTGCCAGGTCGCCGTTTAAGAAAGCCGTTTTGACGTTCATCTGATGCACTGTCATACCCCTGGCCGCTGCCACAGCTAGAAGTGCCTGCAGGGAGGCTGCACGTGTGGTGGGCGCAAACAGCTCTCCGTAGTCTATGCCCGCGCGCTGTTCGAATCCCTTCACCACCAAACGCGACTTATAGTGTACCTCACTGCCAGGCTCCTGTTTGATCTTGTAAACCCAGCAGCAGTCCAGGATGCGTGCACCGGGCGACGGCGTGCCCGACTCCCATGTTTTGTTGGAGAGCTGCGACAGGATCTCGTCATCCATTGAAGTCTTCCACTTGTCAGCTTGCGGACTCACCACCGCTTCCTCATAATTGCACGGCTCCTGCACCACGCTGTTGCCTCTGCCGTCCACACTGCCGTCGGGCATGTTAAGCTCCTGCACCGCGCTATTGCCTCTGCCATTGGCACTGCCGTCAGGCACGTTAAACTCAGCGTGATCGGTGCTACCCGACACTTTGTTAAGCAGCACTGTTGTTGGCCAGGCTGACCGGGGCCAGCGGCAGGTGCAGCGGTTGCCGTTGACTGCGAGTGTTAGGGTGGAGGGGGGGTGCTGGGTTCACTGGGAGCGGGGCATCCACTTGAGCTGGTGGTGTGGCAGGCTGTGTTGAGCCGCCGCCAGGGTCGCTGCCGCCAGGAGGGGTGGGGCTGGTGCCGAAGGAGGTGCCTGCCCGTTGAGATGCTGGGCCACGGTGTTCATCATCGAAGGTGACATCGCTGCTAACAGTCACCTTGCCATCAACAAGGACACGGTGGGCGGCCATGTTGCGCTCCGGTCCAAGGTAGGTTCCCGCCTTCGTGCGGGGACCGAGCTTATCCTGCCAGCTGGCTGGGATGCGGATGTAGCCCAGGCAGCCAAAGGTGTGCAGGTGGCTGACATTGGGGGTGACGCCATGTTAAGCTGCCCACGGCGTGGCCTCCCGGCCCTGAGAGGGAGCCACATTGCACAGGAGGTTGGTGTAGAGCACAGCCTCCGGCCAATGGCATCATACAGCATAGCATGCACACGGTCGAGGAGTGTGCAATTGAGCTGCTCCGCTGCTCCATTCTGCTCCAGGGTGTCCCTATGGCATAAACATGCCAGTTACCGACCGTTTGGGGCCCATTAACCCAATTGAATGGCATTAATGGCCCGGTTGGGTTAACGGTCGGTTGGGTTAATGGTCAGTTGGGTTAATGGTCGGTCTGGACTGTGTGTAAGAACTTGCTTGAATCGTTACAGCTACCCAGTCCAGGTATTCATCCTACCTAGCACCCTGCCTGCATGCCTACACACCTGGGACAGTACTGTTATCACTGCCTCCCACATCATCTTGGCACCATGCCCTTAAGCATATTCATACCTAAATTTATCCTTGTCATACTTTAATGTGTGCACAGCACTGTCACCCGTGTCACCTGGCATTCACCTTGACTGCACAAGGCCATCACACCTGTCACCTGGAATCTGCATAAACCTGCCTGCACAAGGCTGTCACCTCTGTCACAAGCCTGTGCGCATCGTTGTCACCCCTGTCACCCACCATCCACAACAGCCATCACGCAATGTTGTCACCCCTCTCACCCGGCCTTTCAATGTTTTCTGGGCCCAGAAGCCCCACTCTCAAGCCTGCATTTCAATTGTCGCCCATAAGCATGAACCAGGCCACCAACTCACAAGCTTACATGCAACAACTAAAACCAGGCAATACTAGCTACGCAAGCTATGCTATGACAAACTTTTGAGACGACCAGAGCAGCATGAAGTGGTGTCAAGCCGATGTCCCCAAGCAACTGCTTTGTGTCCATGTCACTAGATTGGCGCAATAGGTAAATTTATGTACTCCAAACTCATCCACTGGACGATGCTGGCTGTATTTCTTGCGCGGGCGATCTTGTCGCCGACGGGCGATGTTGTCCAGGGCGTTCCGGTCAAACTCGTAGGCGCCGACCTCATTACCGTTGTCCATGGACATTGTGTTGGAAGGATACGTTAAGGTTGAGATAAAATGAAGAAATGAAGAAGCGCTCCTTCATAGTATGGAGATGGTAGAATCTTTAAGCAACTTTTGAACGACCAGGGAGAGTTGCTGATAGGCGAATTTGTATGAAGCTATAGAATTCCTTTATTCTTTCAAGGTAAATGAATGCTTATGTATTCGTCCGTTAGTAGCGTGAAGCTTTGAACACTCTTTGTACGGCAGATTCGGCACAATATTTTGCCTCATTGCGATGTTGCCTGAAAATTTTGAACAGAAGGGATCACTGCTCATGCTGGTGCAGCAAGACATGTAAGGAGATGGCCTGGTCACAATCCAGCAGTCATATATCGACAATCTCAAGCGACGACAACTTGTTACATGTGTCTGTAATAAAAAAAGGGACTTTGCGATGGTGTGGGGAGCTCTTTGAGTGGTGGGACTGTGGAAATC